GTGCAGGGACAATGAGGGGGGGAAATAAACTAACCCGCATAAAGTTATAAAAGAGGCAGCACACTCCTATGGCTAACGTGCTGTGCTCCACTATCTTGACTAAAAAGAAAGAAGTGTTCCATTTCTTATTTATCTTTCTTACACTAGAGACTTGTTTGCATCACAGATTCTCTTTAGCAGAGTAGGGCAATCACCGTGTTGTTTTAAATGCTAATGTGTCTTGTTTAAGTGCTAGTCCTTAAAGTTGTCCCTGAGCTACTCTGCAAGGTGAATTCCACTGACTACCACTGAGTCCCTGTTAAATAAATAAAAACCCTACCCTTCCTGCAGAACCAGAGGATGCTTTTGTATTACCGCAGGGCTACTCAAGTTTGGAAGTATCAGAGGCCACAATGATACTCACAGCACATGCCGAGGGCCGCAACTTAAGTGTGGTTGCAAATACATGCAAATATATGCAAATAGCTTCTTACACACTGACAGGCATGAATACAAAGATTAAGGCAAGACTACACAACACACAAGCCCCATTTAAGTCAGTTATGCTGATATTAATAAAAAGCAATATTTACCCCATTTACATCCATATGACAGCACTTTTAATGGGCAATGACAGTCCAGGAATTTAACTACTAAAATGCATATCAACAGAAGACTATTTATTGACTCGCCCAATGGAGGCCATGATAAAAAGATTCCATCCGCGGGCCACCCGTTGAGCCCCACATAAACCCAAATCACATCACAGTCTGCAAACAAATGGGCCATGGGGTGCATGTGACCCATTGGCCGCATGTTGAGGTCTTATGGGGTCTTAGACATCTGTCAGGGATGGTGTAGACGGAGCGTGGTCCTGCCTTGAGGGCGGGGGGCTGGACTCGATGACCTCTTGAGGTCCCTTCCAGTCCTATTATTCTATGATTCTATGATTCTATGAATAGGGTACCTGTCTTATGGGGTACTAGGGTTGAAAGGGTTACAGATCAGCCTTCAAACTCAGCTCTACCTTACAAGTACCTTGCCACCCTGGTGGTTATTACTGCTAACCAGGGAATGAAAATGATGGTCAGCTATTAAAATTATTAAGCTCAACTATATGTTTGATATTAGTCATTCTTCCAGTTCTTCAGATTAATTATGAAGTGATTCAACTGTATCAAGAATGTTTTGGGTTGTTCAACTTGAAAGTCATCAAGTTTAGGGACAGAAGGGACCACCACTTTATCTGCTCAGGCATCTTGTATATCACAGGCCTCCAACCCCCACCTAGCACCACCCAGAGCATTCAAAGTTAGTTTTAAAACTACAGATATAACAGGGTTAATCAGACAGGCCCTTAATGATGAGCTCTAAGGGCTAAGATATTGAGAAGGCCAAGACTACAATAGAGTTAAAAAAGAAGATATTTTCCTGGAGGACAAGTTCATCAATAGCTATTAGCTGGGATGGGCAGGGATGCAAAACCTGTTCTGAAGTGTCTCTAGCAGAAGCTGGGAGTGGGAGCTGGAGATGGATACTTGGTAATTCACTGGTCTGTTCATGCCTTTTGAAGCATCTGGCATTGACCACTGTTGATACTGGGCTAGATGGACCATTTTGTCTGACCCATTATACCCATTCTTATGTTCTAAGTTTGGCACCTAATACCAAGGTTGGCGGGTGAAGGCCTAGCTTAAGGCTGTGGCTCGTGAAGCCATACATGGGGAAGCTTGACAGCCACAAGGAGCCGTTCAAAAACAGGCAGTTGCAGAGTGATGGCTGAGTGTGCATTTAGCTGTTTAGAGGCCCGTGGAGTTGTTTTTATGGGAGGCTGGACATGGCTGATGACAATATTCCTGTGGTTATAGCCACATGGTGTATACCTAAGATTCATGAAGAGAAGAGTAAAAGCTTCACTTGGGGTTGGATCATTGAGGCTCAGCCTCTGGTGGCTGAATTTGAACAGCCAGCGACCAGGGCTAATAGAGGGGTGCAGTGCAGAGCCATTAATATCAGGGATGCCTTGAGGCAGCAATTGGAAGTTGAAAGCCATTAATGTTTGTTACTATGTAGGGCAGTTCAATGCTTGTAACATGAGGAGGTGATGGTGACTGGTGCAGACAATCCACCGTGATGGCTCAAAAAAATTGCCCGTTGCTTTGCAGGGTTATCTTTGCTTTCAGTTAATGGAATCAAGATTGCTTTAAAGCCAGCCCAAGTCTTTTACAGAACAACAACTGGAGGAGAGAGACAAAGAAAAACACATCAGCATTGCATGGAATGGAGGAAGGGAAGGTCCCAGGAAGAGGTGGGCTCTCAGGGAGGTTACTGATTTGTGTGTGTCCAGATGTTGTATGCAACTTTGTTCTTTGGAGTAGAGCGCAGCGGGGAATGTACTTCAGAAGAGCTATTCTGCAGAGGAACAGGTGCTGAGAGCAGTGGGTACTGGGAGTCCGCAGGGCTGGGACTGGTGTGGAATGCAGAGTGTATTGACTGGAGCCCGGATGCTGATAAGAGTGTTTTTTGCGGTGTCTGTAAAAGGCGTGGGGAAATATCTTTGTGACACCAGCTATAGGGGAGGGAGGACCCGGAGCTGCTCTGTTTGCAGTCTTCTGAACACCTGGAGTGTGTTGCTTAGTGCTCTGTAATGTTTGAGCTGTTCTGTGGCTTCATTCTGGTGCACCACATTCTCTTCTCAGTACCTCTTCTCACTGTTCCACCACCGCGAGCAGAGGTATTGAGGGGACTCACCTCACACAGAAAGGCCTCTCTATTGTTTCATGACCACTTTCTAATCCTGTTCAGCCAGTGGTAACAAGAGGCAGGCTGGGCTTCCAAGGTGAAGCCAAACTGCAACATTTTACAGAAACACTATTGCTTGCAACCCAGAGACTACTGAATAGTGACACCACTATTATTCACATACCTATCGCTAACTGGCCAACCCTAGGCAAGCGCACGTGAACTGCAAGACCCCCAAAATGGTGAGAAACCGCAGGACAAGGGATTGCAGTGTTCAAGGTCAGGATTGTGCGCTGGTCTCTTGAGGAGAGTCAAATCTGGCCATAGGCGTCTTAATTAACAGTCTCCTCTCCCTGCATGCTGATGAGATCCAGCACCTCAGCATGTATCCCATGTCTGGATGTGTGGAGCAGCCATGTTCATTCTAGAAAGATGCAATGAGACAACTGCATGTGTGGCCAAACAAACCAGAAGGGGACTTTCAAATTTCCCAAAGCATGTAAAGGGTGGGGCTGACAATTACCCACCTGAAGACAGGGCAGTAGAATTCAATGGATGACCAGTGATGTGAGAACAGGCATTGTGGGACATCTCTAGAGGCCAGATGCAACACTGTGATAAACCCGGGTGCCTACACCTGCACTGTGGCATTTTAGCCCTGGTGCAGAAAGCTGTACGCCTCTCACTGGGGTGGTTATTTTTTTTACAGCGCTGCAACTGTTCAGTTACTGTACACAAAGTCATTTGGCTGTGTGTACACAGCTGCAGTTGGAGCACAAACAACTGCTTTACCATCCAGAAACTTGCCAGTGCAGACATACCCTTAGAACCTTTTCATCGCAAGCGCTACAGTGTTGTAGTTGCTACCAGAGAGTACCTTTCCCCAGTATAAAGAACAGCTTTATGCAGCTCTCAAAAGCTTGCCTCTTTTACCAGCAGATGTTGATCCAATTGCACCAATAAAAAGGCATTACCTTACTCACCTCTAATGTCCTGAGAGCAACACAGCTGCAGTCCTACACGCTTAATTAGTGGCTATTCAAATGGCACTTGATTACTATGCTTCTGTGCTATTTTCGACACCTTTTAGAAATAGGTAAAAACCTTATAACGTCATACAAGAAATGGTTTTATGGACTCTGATATTTGCAAGAATGTATAGCAAAATATAGCTCAGGTTTTACATAGTACAGCAACACTTCCAGCTACAAAACCTTTACTAGGTAGCAGATCAGTGGCTTTTTATCCTTCTCTGTGTTCCCTGATACGCCACACTGCATTACTACCAACTGACAGTTCACACAGGCCAGTTTTCACACCTTGGATTCTGCACACCTGTGATCATATAGTATTCAGACATGTTCAGATTGGAATCTGCAGTGTTATACCAAACTCTTCCCACGCCTGTTATTGTTTTTATACTGGTTCTTCAGAAAACAGCATGGTGAGAGTGTTGTTTTAGGTTTGTTTGTTTGTTTGTTTGTTTGTTTGTTTAATGCAACCAGTAACATTTTCTAATGGGTTTGAAATTATCAATAGATTCAGGTAAAATAGCACCTCTCCACAGAAAAACATAAAGAAACGTTCCCACATTTGAAGTTGAAATTTGAAACAAAGGTTTATTTGAAACACTGAATGATTTTTTTGGTCCAGATTGAGGGGAAGTTGAAGTGGAAATTCCAAAATACTGCAAGAAAGATCCTTCTAGGTCGACATATTACTAGTCATGATGAAAAGATAGTCATTCTGAAGTGATATATGAAAGGTCATCAGGATTTAGAGACTTAAATGAGGATGTGAGGATAGGCTTGTTAAAAGAATCCTCATCTGTGCACTCATGCATGTCAACCAAGCAAACTTCCTCCATCATTAATGTTAAAAAATATAGACATCCAAAGCATGCACTGGTAGAACATCAAGTTCTGCCAACATGTCTCTTTTGTATGATGTGTCATTTCAGGTTGCATCGATCCCATCACATTATCATATGTGAAACTGGACTCCACGGTGTGAAAGTAACAACCTGATGAGACTCAGTAGTTAAGAAATTAAAGAAGTGCTCTTTCCCCTAAAGCTCAGCTGTACAAATTTGCAGTAGAAAAGGAATAATGTTCTTTAATAAATGAGCAAATGGATAATGATGCAGAATTTAGGCTTGGATAGTAACCACTCATATGTTTCTTAGACTACCTCTAAATGGGAATTGATGCACTGAGATCGATTCGTCAGCAGTCAGTTTGGCAGATCTAGTGAAGATCCACCAAATCAACTACAAATCAGCTCCCAGTTGATCCCCTTACTCTACCCAAAGAAGAAGAGTGAGGTAAGTCAATGGTAGAGCTTTGCCCATGGACCACCCACGGTGTAGACCATTTGGTAATTTGACTTAAGGTATGTCGACTCTGGCTACCTTATTCACGTAGTTGGAACAGTTTGCGTCATATCAACTTTCTGTGGTAATGTAGACTTAACACTTAGCAGGTGATATGACAATGTTTGAAGAGAAATTAAAAAGGCTTGGACTTTTCAACTTAGAAATAAGAAGATTAAGGGGGAATATGATAGAGGTCTACAAAATCATGACTGGTGCAGAAAAAGTGAACAAGGAAAAGTTATTTATTTATTTCCACAATATAAGAACTACGGGTCACCAAATGACATTAAAAGGCAGCAGGTTTAAAACAAACAAAAGGAAGTTTTTCTCACTCAATGCACAGTCAACCTGTGGAACTCCTTGCCAGAGGATGTGGTAAACGCTAGGGCTTTAACAGGGTACAAAAAAGAGCTAGCTAGATTCATGAAGGTTAGGTCCATCAATGGCTATAAGCCAAGATGGGTAGGAATGGTGTCCCTAGTCTCTGTTTCTCTGGAGGTGGGTGGCAGAGGAGGGATCACTTGAGGATTCCTTGTTGTGTTCCCTCCCTCTAGGACATCTGGTATTGGCCTCTGTTGGCAGACAGGATACTGAGCTGGATGGGCCATTGGTCTGACCCAGTATGGCTGTTCTTATGGTAATTGGGGTCTTTAATACAAAAACTTACTTGCTAAGTAAGCCCTCCTTAATGAAATCTCATACCCCCTTGCAGATGTATGAATTTTATCCTCATTTTATAAAAGGATAAAATGAGTCACAAAAGGGTTAAGGGGATCAGAGGCAGTGTCTTAAGAAGGCCCTACATCCACTCCTATCAGATCACACTCATGAATGCGACTCATCCCCACTCAGAGTAAAATGTGCATGTGTATCTACATGAGGGGAGGAGAGGAAAGGAGGAGAGAGATCACATTTTAGTAATAGGTTCCAATCTAAAACATGTATAACATATGAGAATAGTTTTCTTTCTTCTCTACAAATGTATGATAAATATAGAGGCTGATCTGTAGCAGCTGTAAATCAATACGACTCCCTTGACTTCCAGGGAGCTTGGCCAATTTACAGTAGCTAAGGGTCCGGACCATAAAAACATGTGATGCATATAACTTACATACCACATGATGAGGTAGAATCACTCTTACATTGAATAGTTCCTGCTAATCTTGTACTCATAGATTCTGTGTTCAACAAAGTCAAACCACGGCAAATCCTGTTTTTAACCAACAAGTACTTGTCTTTCCAGTGTTCTTTCCAAATAGATGTTCCAGAAAGTTATTGAAATAAGGTTCTTAGCATGTGAATTTTGTTCTCACACACTCCAAATCCAAGTCCCAGATGACGTTTGTGATTATTCACTAAATCTGCCAAAAGTAGAATCATAATGAGCCCAGCTCGTATGTCTTAAGGTTTCTTTTATTCTTGCAAAGACCTTCATAAGTGTTCAATGCACTTTGTTAGGGCACATCTTCACTTGCTGTGCTGAAGTTCGAACTTCTGGTGTTTGATTTAGTGGATTTAGTTAAGATCAGTAAATTGAATACTGAGGGCAGCACCAGCCAACACCTGTACTCCTCACAGTTGCAATGAGTAAGGGAAGCCGACAGGAGAATTTGCTCCTATTGGCCTCCTGTGGAGATGCCGCCAAACTCAGATTAAGGTAAGCCAACTAGAATTGCATATCATAAGCTGACCTTAGTGATTCTCTTCTTCTAGGTATGTCTACACTGCACAGTTATTTTGGAATAAGTGATTCTGGAATAGTTATTCTGAAATAGCTTATTTTGAAATAGCATGTCTACACTGCAGGGAAGCCTCAAAATTAGTCGGAGGTAGGCTTCCCTAACGTAGACGTGCTATCTCAATTTAGAGCCCCGGGAGGAACAACTAAGAATGGCCCTGGTGAGGGGCTATTTCGAAATAGCAGAAATGGAGCATCTACACGTCTTATTTACAAATAGCTATTTCAGAATAGGCATTACTTTTTGTAGAATGAGGTTTACGGAAGTCGGAATAAGCCGTCCATTATTTTGAAATAACGGAATTGCTGTGTAGACGCTCGCATGATTATTTCAGAATAACAGCCATTATTCC